GGTCCCTTCCAAATTTAGGGATTGTATGATTCTATGATTTGACCATTTCTCCAAACCGAGAACATGTGAATAAAAAAAAAATCCATTGTCAAAGCACACAACAAACAAGAATGAGGTTTTGCCCTTTTAATGTATATTAGATACTGTGTGGATTTAAATGAAGGTTTACAAAGTAGGCAACAATTTGCAAACCTCAGGCAAAAGACACCTCATTCTCCAGGTTTAGCCAAAGAAAAACCACTCCAACAAAGCACAAAATGCAAAATTTTTCATTACCTGTAGACATACCTTGCTATACAAGTATTCTATAAACACTGTTAAATACACCCGTGCAAGACCTTTGGTTAGCTCTTCGGAAAGCTGCTTAATTGAGAGATGGGAAAATCACTACTACCTTGGTCAATAACTGCTATTGAATTTGAATGCCCACAAAGAAAAAAAAAAGAAAAAGTAAGGATTTAGTCTATTTATAACAACATATGCCACTTACCTCTTTTGCACATTTGGCAGCAAATGTTTCTTTTTGAGAACCCCAAAATGAAAAATTAGGGAAAAGTTTCTTTTTGAGAACCCCAAAATGAAAACTAATTAATGCCCATATAGAAAACTAATTAATGGCCATATTGTTGAGTTTAAGCAACTCAACCCCAACAATTTCAGAGTCATTGGAGCCACTAGAAATGATCTTTGGGAATCTGSAGAGGAAAAATTAGTTTCCATAAGGCAAGAGTCAATCACAACATACCTTCACAAGGGGAAACGGGGAAACATCTCATGTTTAGGTTGACTTAATTCCTGGAGAGTTGTTTGACAAAACATCTGAAAAAGAAATACCTTGGTGAGAAATGACATTATCAAGAACAAATTATAATGCAGTAGTATTTTTTCTATGGTAAGCGAATGATGAAAAACCCTGTTATGAGGGTTAGCCTAGAAGCTAGGAATAWCCAACACATTTTAAACAAAGTTTTCATTATATCTTTCCCAGTTTATTTATACAGATACATGATCCTAATTGTACGTGAATTCAACAGTCTGAAAAGCCTGAGTGTAACTTGGATGAAAGCACAGAAATTCAAACCTGAAAAATCATTTATATACTAGTTTCAAGTAGTATAACGTCCATAGAAATATCYATTATATCCAAAGAATTTACGTAACATTTGACAGTCTGATTTTTGATTTCAAGGTTGCTAGTAATGAAGCGACACCAACGAGATGTTTAGGGAAGCTGTAAAGGGAAATCTCAKCTGGGACTTGACAAGAAAAACAAAATCAAGATCCAACAGACAGACATTTTTACAGCCACAGCAGCTTCCAGCAAAAGAAAAACATCTTGACCCTGGGCCAAATCCCAGAGTCCTGTAGGCCACAGGCCTTTAAGTCTGTTTTTATTAAGCCCTCCCTTGAACTGGCTATTTCTGCAGTGCTAGGTTCCTTCCCTGAGTAATTAGCTCCCACTTTGTGCATAATATTCTCATTCTTTTAGGACTAGTATTATTAGCTGTCAGTAAAAATACCAAATCTTAGCAGCTTTTTAAAAGAAAAGGCATTATGTTCGTTATTAATATCTTTGTTGCTCACTTAGGCGCTCTCAGGAGTAAAAGAAACCTGTATGAGCTGAAGAACTGAACCCCAATGCTTTTTAGTACCCGTATTTCCTGCATCGAATGTTTGCTGACTTTGGAAATGAACTCCTAAGGTTTGATCCAAAACCTTAGTATTTATCTTTATGACATATGTATGCATTCAAATAATATCTTGTAACTGTGACAAGCCTTCTTGGCAAATGGAATCCAAAATTTTATTAAAAACTTTAAAGAAATGCTTTGTCCAGGGGCTCGTTTCTTTTCAAAAGGGAAGATCTTTAACATCCCATTCCAAATGCATACCTCCAAAATTAAGTAATTCCCCTAGGACCTCATATTTTAATAGCTCATTTAAAAATCAATCAATCAATCAATAAAATATATGTTAAAGGATCCTCAAAGAAGAAACAGAATAAATTGTGCATATTGCTTCTCTGCAGCACATTAAAACAGCCTGGCAGATTTTTACCCCAGAGACAGAAATGTAAGGTTTTTATTTAATGATTTTTAACAACCTTTTCAAAACACACGGAAATGGAAACTTGCACATTTGGGAGCTACGCAGTTTAAACTGGCTTAACTAAACCCTGTATCCTCATTCCTACCCTTAATCTATCCATTAGATTGTACAGAAATAGTGACCAGACGGAAAAAAAGAAGTGTTCCRACTCTTCTTGAACACTTTTTTTGAACAGCAAGCAGAAAGTGTTCACACTACMAATTCAGTTATCATAAGAAAATTTTGGAGAAAAGGTAGAAATGTATAGCTATAAACTATGTAACTTTAGTTAAAAAAAAAATGTACCCTGTATTACACTTCGCAGATGTACATGAGTAATAATGTATTTGAGAATTAAATTGAACATGGAACTAATTAACAATTATCYTCAGTTAACCATTTGTGCAAAATTATATGGAAAAAAAAAACATTTAACAGAGGATTTCCCTGTATCTATTCAAGGAAAACACACTTGAAGGAACACACTTCCCTTCTTTTGAAGGGAAACACGTATTCCAGCAACAGCGGGATATCAGTGCAAGCGGGCTCCTTCGGGGATGTGCTTGCTACCCAAATCCTACATTTTTATTCATTTCGGGAATACGGCAGTATTAAAGGATCATGGACAACAAGGCAACAGGAGGAGG